GATGGTGGGGATGGACTTGGTGCAAGACTGGAACCAGGTCGTGCCCCTGGGCACCCCCGGCGGTGGTAGAGGGGTCCCGCTGAGGGTGTGTGCCCGGGATGAGCCAGCTGTGAAGGGGATGACAGGTCCCATCCGAGCGGGATGGATGGGATGACAGGTCCCGATCTGAGCGGGATGGATGGGTGACTGCTAGGAGTGAGCGAGGTCAGACTAGCCGGGTCGGTATCGTGCGGGCAGCGTGGTACAGGGGGAGCAAGCGGAGAATGGTCGGGGTCACAAGCCAGATTCAGCAGGTAGCGGGCAGCGCGGTACCGAGGATCAAGCAGAATGATGGTCAGGAACGAGCCGGGGTCAGAGCAGGAGAGGATCAGCATAAATCAGAACAGGCAGAGTTTGGCAACAAGGAAACGTACTTACAGGAACAAGACCTTGCGGCAACTTGGAGATGCACAGGGCAGTTTTAAATAGAGCTCCCTGTTCTCCCATTGGTGCGGCCACGATCGCTAGTGCACATGCACGGCCGCCGCCGCGATCGCCGAGGACTCTGTGCTCACCGGCTCGGATGGATCGGCAATCTGCGCATGCGCGCACCGCCGAGAGCCCGGGATCCCTGACATTATTACAGCACTCAGTCTTTTTGGGTAGTGTCTTTTTGGGCAAGTCTATCGGCATGGCACATCTTGACTTAGCAATATTTGCCCACTCTTCCTTGTAAAAAACACTCCAAATCTGTCATATTGCGAGGGATTCAGCCATCTTCAGATCACCGCACAGATCTGCGATCAGATTCATATCTGGGCTTCGGCTGGGCCATTCTAAAACGTAATCTTCTTCTGATGAAGCCATTCCTTTGTTGATTTGGATGTATGATTTGGGTCGTTCTGCTGAAAGATGTTCAGCTTTCTAGCAGAAGCCTGAATGTTTTGTGCCAATATTGACTGGTGTTTGGAACTGTTCATAATTCCCACTACTTTGACTAAGACCCCAATTCCAGCTGAAGAAAAACAGCCCCAAAGCATGATGCTGCCACCACCATGCTCCACTGTGGGTATGGTGTTCTTTTGGTGATATGTAGTATTGTTTTTGCGCCAAACATATCTTTTGGAATTATGGCCAAAGAGTTCAACTTTGGTTTCATCAGACCAGAACACATTTTCCCACATGCTTTTGGGAGACTTCAGATGTGTTTTTGCAAAATTTAGCCAGGCTTGCATGTTTTTCTTCGTAAGAAAAAGCTTCAGTCTTGCTACTCTGCCCCATAGCCCAGACATATGAAGAATAAGGGAGATTGTTGTCACATGTACCACACAGCCAGTACTTGCCAGATATTCCTGCAGCTCCTTTAATGTTGCTGTAGGCCTCTTGGCAGCCTCCTAGACCAGTTTTTTTCTCGTCTTTTCATCAATTTTGGAGAGACGTCCAGTTCTTGGTAGTGTCCCTGTTGCGCCATATTTTCTCCACTTGATGACTGTCTTCACTGTGTTCCATGGTATATCTAATGCCTTGGAAATTCTTCTGTACCCTTCTCCTGAGTGATACCTTTTAACAATGAGATCCCTCTGATGCTTTGGAAGCTCTCTGCAAACCATGGTTTTTGCTGTAGGATGCGACTAAGAAAATGTCAGGAAAGACCTACTTGAACAGCTGAACTTAATTTGGGGTGAATAAGAGGCACTTTAAATGATGGTAGGTGTGTACTAACTCCTATTTAACATGAGTTTGAATGTGATTGCGTAATTCTGAACACAATTACATCCCCAGTTATAAGAGGGTGTGCACACTTATGCAACCATATTAATTTAGTTTTTTTATGTTTACTTCCTTCCCTAAAAATTGAGTTGTACAGTTTATAGGTCACATTAAAAGGTAGAAAAAGTGGATTTATCTTTGTCTAATTTTTTTACATCACAGAAACCTGACATTTTAACAGAGGTGTGTAGACTTTTTATATCCACTATATATATATATATATATATATAGGAACACTTACCCATGCCTCCGCAGGCCCTCTGGTCGATAGGGCTATTGAGCAATCTTCTAGGAAAGGCACAACTGAATACAAACCAACACATAGTTCAAATGGAGATTCCATTACGACAGGGGGGGGTAATGTAAATAATGGTGAACTTTCTGCCAACATTTCCATCTCTCACGCCTCCAATAACACAATTCCGTCTAGCACAGTTTCTCAATTTTCTTCAAACACTCTGGCTGGGAGGGAAGGGTGGTCAGAGGGGGGCTAATGTCCATGTCCTTAACTGTCTATGTTTATTTCCCTTAGAATGTTCAGAGGAGAAGTGATACAGTTTTAGAAATGCGTTTGATCAATTTTATAACATATAACGTGAAAGGATTAAACTCTCCAACCAAAAGACATAAGATATTTAGGGAAATCCATCAATACTCTATAGATGTAGTTTGTACAAGAGAAACATATCACACGATCAGGGGCGAACTGACCATTTGTAAACTGGGACACTGCCCGAGATCAGTAGGGGGCCCCATGAGATGCCCCTGGTACCTTTTTCATAGGCTTTTTTGAGTTTGGGCAAGGACACAGGGTCCCCATGATCCCCTATTGCCCGGGGGCCCCATGAGTTTTCAGTCTGCCCCTGCACACGATACAAATGTTAAGTTATATTCTAGGTATTATCCAACCTGGTATTATGCTGATTCACCAATAAAAAGGGCCAAAGGGGTAGTGACTGGGTTCTCAAAACATGTATACTTCACTTTGGGACAGGTGGATCTAGAAGGTCGGTTTCTATTCCTGAGAGGAAAATTACAAGGAGTTTACTGCACATTAGTTAACATCTAGGCCCTGATTTACTCAGACTCAATTCAATCAATTAAGACCTTTCAGTTTTCAGAAAGGATCCCAGCAAGCTGATTCCAAAGAGTCTACTTTCTAGACACTATCCTGCTCGTAAATACGAAACCACATTGGGTGTATTTCTAGAAGTAATGCCAGATATGGTCGCTAGGTGGCGTACAAGCGTGTGCTTTGTCCCATTGGCGTTTATCTGTCTGCATATGAGAATACTTAGAATTTAAAATAAAAAGCACACCTATAATTTTTTATTTTATTATTTTTTGTTGCTGTTTCGCCTGAAATGATCGGCCAACTAATGCATTTCCTAATGAATGTTACAAAGTCATACATCCTATTTTCAAATGTCAAACATTTTCAAACTTATATCTCAAATAATTTAAATGTCTAGTTCTAATTTCCCAATATAATTACATATCTTCATTCTCTTTAATCATGTAACTATTCTACATTCCAGCTCAAACTCTGTCTGTTACAGTGGCTTAGTGGTTAGCACTCAGGGCTTGCAGCACTTGGGTCATGGGTTCTAATCCCAGTCATGGCCGCACCTGTCTGGAGTTTGCATGCTTTCTCTGTGCGGATGTGTTTCTGCCAACACTCCAAAGACATGCTATTGGGCCTAGTATATATCTGGCCTTAGATTGTAAGCTCCTTGACATTACAGACTATTGTGAATGCCCAAAATATGGAGATCAATTTTCAGGATTCTGTCAGTGCCAGGAATATTGATCAATCAATTAAGATTTTGGCTACTGACTAGAAAGTGGAAAGGGAGTGAATCTTACCTGCGTCCTGACAAGTTTGAAACTTTCACTTTTCCTTCTGTTTATATTTCATTGCAACTATGTTTCTCTTCTCTTAAACCTCTCTCCTAATACAACTTGACCCCCTCTCCCACTCCCGTCATCACCTGTTCCATCTGCAAATCTATGTATTACCGCACCCACTCTTTTTATTTAACTATTTATTTACTGATCAAGTTAATGTGTCTCATTTCCTATCACTTACAGCTCGGGTCTAGCATTATTATAAGATTCCTAATTGTATCTCACCACTAGTCTGATTGAATTCACAATTCCTGGTCAGTCCCATTCCCTTACCTATAACTAGAGATGAGCGAATTATTCAAAAATTCGATTCGACTGATTCGGCGAATTCGTGAAAAAATTTCGATTCGAGTCGAATATATTCGCTGCGAATTTAACTTATAAAAGGGTGTTTCTAGGCTTCAGAGAGCCTTTATATTAGTGCAGAACACTGTACCTTTAATTTAAATGCCCTTGGAGTCTGCTGGGGAAGAGAAATAATACTGACAGTCAGTATGACATGCAGATGAGTGCCGTCGATCTTAGAATCACCACACACTTCACTCATTTGGGCAGTCACGGGGCCAAAACCAGAGTGTGGAGCCACAGTGTGGCGGTGGAGGCAGCAGCAATGGGAGGCCATACAGCACCCTATGACAAAAATGGAAACCACCAGCAGTGTGAGGAGACCTGAAAGTGGCACATGGCAGAGTGTGGCGATGGAGACAGCAGCAATGGGAGGCCGTACAGGGACCCATGACACACTCTGGACCTGGCAGCAGCATAAGGAGGCGGTACAGGGGCCCATGACAGATTACGGGCCTGGCAGCAGCATGAGGAGTTGGCATGGGGGCCCATGGCAGATTACGGGCCTGGCAGCAGCAATGGGAGGCCGTACAGGGACCCATGACACACTCTGGATCTGGCAGCAGCATGAGGAGGCGGTACAGGGGCCCATGACAGATTACGGGCCTGGCAGCAGCATGAGGAGTCGGTACGGGGGCCCATGACACACTCTGGACCTGGCAGCAGCATGAGGAGGCGGTACAGGGGCGCATGACAGATTACGAGCCTGGCAGCAGCAACTTGGACAGGAGGACGTTCAGCTTCTGCACCGTCGGGTGCGTGCTCGCAAACTGTTGTCTCTTGGAAACGGATTCCAAGAAAGACTGCTGACGGAATCCGTGAAGAGGAGTAGCAGGAGAAGTAGCATCTGAACCAGCGGAATATGCCAACAAGCGACAACAGGGGCCCATGACAGATTACGGGCCTGGCAGCAGCATGAGGAGTCGGTACGGGGGCCCATGGCAGATTAGGGGCCTGGCAGCAGCTATGGGAGGCCCGTAATCTGCCAGCACCCTATGACAAAAAATGGAAACACACCAGCAGTGTGAGGAGACCTGAAAGTGGCACATGGCAGAGTGTGGCGATGGAGACAGCAGCAATGGGAGGCCGTACAGGGACCCATGAGAGACTGTGGACCTGGCAGAAGCATGAGGAGGAATCTGCCACGCCCCTATGACAAATAAAATGGAAACACACCAGCCGTGTGAGGAGACTCTGAAAAGTGGCACATGGGCATGAGACACTGTGGACCTGGCAGCAGCATGAGGAGGCTGGTATTTAGGGGCCCATGGGCAGATTAGGGGCCTGGCAGCAGCTATGGGAGGCCCGTAATCTGCCATCACCCTATTTGGACAAAAAATGGAACACACCAGCAGTGTGTGTGGAGAACCTGAAAGAGTGCGCCACATGGCAGAGTGTGGCGATGGAGACAGCAGCAATGGGAGGGGGGGGGGCACCCGTACATGGGGACCCATGAGAGACACTGGACCTCGGAGCAGCTTGAGGAGGCGGGTATAGGGGCCTTGGCAGATTAGGGCCTGGGCAGCAGCTATGGGAGGCCCGTAATCTGCCAGCTCCTATGACAAAAAATAGAAACACACCAGCAGTGTGAGGAGACCTGAAAGTGGGAATGGCATGAGACCTTTTGGACCTGGGGCACCCAATGAGGAGGCGGGTACAGGGGCCCATGGCAGTTTGGGGGGACTGCAGAAAGTTTATGGGGGGCCCCGAAAAATTTCCCGCACCCTATGAAAAAAAATAGAAACCCAGCAGTTGGAGGAAAAACCTGAAAGGGCACATGGCATGGGGACACTGTGGACGGGGCAGCAGCTTTGGGGGAGGGGGAAAAAGGGGGCCCCCAGGGAAAGATTGGGGGGCCGGGGCAGCGCTATGGGGGGCCCCCGTAATTTTTTTTTTTGCCGGGCCACCCTAGGGAAAAAGGGAAACCCCTTTTTTGGGGTGGGGGCAGGCAGAAAAAACCGTTCTTTTTCAAGGTTTTCCAGGCCCCCAAAGGGCCCGACGTGCATTGGGGGACCCCAACGCTTTTAGTCCCAACATGGGCCCCCGGGCCCACGCTTGATTTTCCCTGGCCCCCTTATTTCAAATTTAGGGCCCTACTTTTAAACTTCCTGGGCGGTTTGGGCCCAAAAAATTGCCACCCCGGGCCGGGAGTAAAAAAATTTTTGCCCCCGATACTCCCCCAATGGCTAAATGCTGCTTCCCCCGGGTGCCCCAACCTTCACCCCCTAAGGCCTTTGGTGGTAGGCGCAGTGGACCCGGGTTTTGCTGAAATCCGGGGCCCGTTTGCCTCCCCCTTGAAAATGCTGGGGATTTCTGCTGCCCCCTGGGCAACCCCGACTTTTTTGCTCGCTGCCAAGTTTGCCACCCTTTCTTGTTGATGCGGAAAGCAACCCCGGGATGACGCGAGGTGCCAAGTGGATCAGCCTTTTCATCATCAATTAGGGTCTCCCCCCTCACTACTAGCCCCCTGGGCGGGCTTTGTGGGTCAAGAGAAAAGCCCGGGTCTCTAGCCCGGTCCCGGCCACTCCCCTCGCCATACTTTTTCGCCGGGGGCTGCGAAGGGCTTTTTGTCCCCCCCCCGTTCCTGACCCCCCCTTTGGGGAGTCTTCCTCCGGGTTAAAAGTGGGGCTGAGCCCACAGCAAAAGTTTCTTCGTTTGGTAAAGGGAACCCAAAGGACAGGGGCGGGTTTCCGGGGACACGTGATTTTCGTGGGCTTGCCCCCGGGGCCCATGCCAAAACTAACGGTTGGGGTTTGACGTTCCCCCGGCCCGTTGGCTTTAGGTGTCGAGGTGCCCGGGGGAAAGGGGAAAGAGGGCCCGACCCAACAAATCGATGAGGGCAGGGTTGTCGGTGGAGACCGAGCGGGAAAGGGACCCCGGGAAAAAGGCACTGGCCTCGGGTGCGATAGTGCGGGCCTCGCCCCTTTCCCTTTGCTCCCACGTCGGGCCGCCCAAAAAACATTCCCTCCTCTGCCATTTCCTTTGCATGTTGCCCTGACATATCTTTTAATTTAAACGTTTTCTGTGTCCGAGTAACAATTTGTGTCTGCCCCTGGTAAAAATTTTCTGTGTCTTTTCCCTGAGTAAAAATTTTTTGGGGCCCCTC